ATCTCCCACTTATGTGGCCCTTTCTATATGGGATCCAGGGAAAACCTGGGCTCCAAATCCTGGAAGTGACAGGACCAGAGAGCAAAGTAATACACCCAAGTCAGAATAGTCCAGAAATAGCCCCAAGCTAGATTTCATAGGAAAAATATATGTTACATTTCAAAGGTAACTTCTACATCTCAAGTTATATTGAGGAGATGGTGAAGTTTAAGATTGTGTGAAGCACAAGCGTTACCTTTTCTGAGCTTTAAGAATATGAATCGATTATCATTATTGAGGACATAAAATCAGTTCTACCACAGAGTAAGACTTTAGTCTCTGAGTTGAAAAAAGCATTGAGCATTCAGGAAGGTAAATTTGTGCTTGCACTAGTAAACTTGAGAGAGAAAGTTCTGGAACATATGTTTTTAGAGAGGTCTCTAGAGCTCACATGATACATATTTTTGGATACAAACAAAATTTGAAGGACTGAGAATCTCTTGAAAACAGACATACACACACACATATATAATATATATATATATAAAGCCTCATCAGGTAAGAGTAAACAGGATGTATTAGAACATAATTTTGAGCCATTTCTAAGGCCTACCAATGTTACTGAGGACCAGACTAGAATGTAAAACACTTCGGTCAAGAGAAGAGTAAGAGGAGTCAAATTCAAAATTTTTAGCATGGAAGAATTTCTACAATGCTATAGTAGCTTGTCTATACAAAATAAGCAAGGCCTTAAACAGTATTATAATATATGAAATGTTGTTTACAGTTGCATTATAATAGCAGTAAACTAGAAGTTCCCTCTTGTCTTTAAAAAATAATAAAGCTTCTAAACAAGGTAATATTTATACTGAATTTACAGTAGAGGACAGTGAGATAGTGAGATAGAGGAATTTGTTAATAATCAAGCTGGCATTCAAAACCCCACTCTGTGTGTATGTATGTGAATGACCTATGCAGCCTTTTCTTCCATAGAGAATAAAGGTGATAGATGATAGCTAGGTAGGTAGGTGCGTAGGTAGGTAGGGAGATAAGCAGATAGATGATAGATAGATAGATAGATAGATAGATAGATAGATAGATAGATAGATAATACATAGATAATACATAGATGGATATATATGTTATAGACAGTTGCGTTTTCATTGAACGCTGTTTATTAGAAATACCTGGTTTTCTGTCGTTCTCCTTCCACGCTGTGGGCCTAAGAGGAAAATATAAACATAGATTTACACTAGCAGAATGTGAATAAATGTGGACTGTTTGTAGTCACTGCTGGTTGAACAGGAAATGGAGAATGGAAAACCATGACACAGTAGAACATGTTCGCATGTCTCTGCTTGATCTGAAGTCACTGGTGTGCTTGTTTATGTCAGAGATGAAAAGGGAGATGCTAAGGTCACGTTCATCATCCCCACCTAATAAGCTCTGTGACCTTGGAAAGGTGTTACTGAAGTTCCCTTCACCTCAGCGTCCTGGCGTGTGAACTGTAATGTAAGGAGCTGTATGATTTCACAGAGCTTGTACTTGAAAAGTGCTAACAAGAGCTCTGAGCACAATTAATGTCTAGTAGCTATTTAGCTTATTTCGTAATCTCATTTTATTCTAAAATATGTTGATTAAGTTAAAGTTTTCTTAGTCCCAAAAAGGGAAGATTATTAATTGTTTCTATTTATGTTTTTCTTTCAGATCCATGTGTAATATCTGAAGAAAACATGAATACAAGTAACATACAATTAAAAGAAAAAGATGACACAACGTACTATGTAAAAACCGGGGATCTCGTTGAATTTGTGTGTAAATCGGGACACACTGCAGCATCATCACAGCAATCATTTCAAGTAGTGTGTGGAGAAGGGACACTGGAGTACCCCAGATGTGAATAAAGAAGCAGTTACCCCACATATCCGGCCTCTTCCATCTACTGCGCTTAACTGTCTGAGCTGCTAAGAAAGCTTCTGATAGCTTGCTGCTATGTTCTACTTTACTTCAAAGAAAATACAAACAATACGGTAGTCTCAATTTTCAACTTATCTTCCCACAAATGTGTTAAAAAAACTATACCATCCCTTACACTTGTACTAGATGATAGTTATTTTCCAGTCCCAGGTATTAGACTACTTACCAATATATTAATAAACACACAAATATGCTAATTATATGCTTTCTGCATATGTAATAGAGTATGTGCACATTCAAACAAAATAAGTGAGCCTAGAATTTATTGGGGGAAATGATACAATCATAAAATTAGATATTAACATAGAAAGTGAAAACAGTCGCATTCCGAACCCCCTTAACGCCGACACAAACCACCTCATTCCAGCCACAGGAGCAGCCCGTCTCCCAGACGGGAGGCACCTTCCGCTTGTGCCTGGGAGGCCACCTGTTCTCACCTTTCAAGGAACCCTCTGCACTCATTGTACAATATCTTCTCCATGTCCGCCTCCTGTCTTTCTTTACGGACTCATGCCCATTTAACTTGAACATGCTCAATTTCACCCTTTTTATGCAAAAGACCTCCTTTATTCTTCTCTCCCCGTCTTTTAAAACATTACTATAGCATCTCATTTCAATCAGTGACTTCCCAAAAGTCTCTCTTACATTTAATAAAGTAAATCCTCTAATATAATATAGACTTCTTATTTCTAATGTGTTTGTTATTTTTTAACATTGATGGAAAATTGAATTAAAAGTAATGGAGGAGAATGGACAATAGAAAACAGAAATATTTGGATGTGTAGATCAGTACTGTAACAGATGAAGACAGGCAGTAAAGATTAACTTACATGTGAAATAATCCAAACTACAAATGAAAGGATATGTTCTGGCTTTTATTTACAGATAAAGAAAATATCATTATAAACAATTTAGCTTCACATCTTCAAGCAAGTGAAAACTTAAAGGTTATTAATTCAACATTTTTTTTCTAAAAATTATGTTTCATTAGGGATTTTATAATGTGTTGAAATATGATTCTTCTTTCTCGCATTCATTTTATGTCCTTAAGTGTTCTTGGTAAGACTGCATCATTTGTAAGAAAGACAGAGAGGGGCAGAGAGAAACAGAGAGATTTTTAAAATAAGCATCACTTGTGGTCAAGTATTTATTATAGTCTCAGTCCTTTCATATTTCACGTAATTGGTCATTGTTTTAACTCGGTACTTCCAAAAGCATGAAAACACACTTGTAAAATTTTCTCACGAATTCCCTTTTATAGACTCAATGTCATTTGCTACATGAACACCTTTTTTTTTAAATTTTTTTGAGTTATGCATTTCTATTTGTCTTAGGAATTACAAATCAAAGATACACTAAAACATTGAAATAGTAGATAAAAATTTTCTATTCTGATTTTTACCACAGTTAAAAATGAAATATAAAAGTTTTACACCCATCATTTTATTGTATTACTTTAATGTTTTTTGAAAAAAAATATCACTTTCCATTCATTAACAAGTACAAAATATAATTTTAAATTGTCATATGTGGAAACTCTTCAACAAGGAAGTCCAAACTTTATATACAAATGTGTTCCTTATAAAAAATGCCATAATTTTAATCATTGTTATTAACATATTCTTCTATCAGTAGAAAGACTGTACAGCTGTGTTTTCAATCTTTAGTTGCTATACATGAACCTATACTGGAAAATGGGAGAAAATACTACTTTTTCTATCTCAGAAAACAAAGGTTAATTTTTTCACATTTAAATATTGCACATATAAATTGACTTATTTATCAAATTGCCAAGCATCGCATATATCAAATACCACTCAATGCTTTCAGTTTGGATAACTCTGGGAACTTTTTCAATTAGTTCAAATACTTCTAGGACCTTTCATAGTTAAAAAAAAAGAGAGAAAATATTTTTTTCCCTTTGTAATGACCATAAAGTAGAAATTTTGTAGAACCTAATATTTCTGAAATTTACAACACAATGACTGTTGACCTACAATATGACCAAAACACAATCAATCAAAAAATAGTTGTAGACACAGGTCTCTTCTCACCTTGGTCTTTGGACACATCGTGGATATTTGAACTGCCCTCTGTCACTTCGCACTCTAAGTTCAGACCCAATAGTAGATAACTGAGCCATGGAAGTACCTTTCCTACAAAGAAACTCAATATACTCGCCATGGAAAATGTAGGGTCTATTGTCGAAACCCCATTTCAACAGTAAATTATTCTTTTCCATTTCTACAAAGATAATGTGCAAGGCTCTGAAAAATTAAAGAAGAAAATTCTCTTGGTACATCTTGGTACTGGCAGGAAGCCTTGGGTTGCAATGATGACCTTCAAAATTCCAGGCATTAGAGACAAGTAAGTTAGATAGAATTAATATTTAAGTCAGAAACTAGGTTTCAAAAAGCCTGCCAATTTTTTCTGTGGTTCTTGGTAGACGCCTGACTAAATAGGCACGCGAACGAAATAACACCAATGTAGCACGTTAAGCATTCTGTGAGTGTTCTAGTAGCACACAGAGCACAGAAAGTGAAAAGATATGGTTTTATTTTATTAACTAGAGACAGTCGTTCGTACCCAAGCACAATGGTGGTGTGGTCCACACTCCCTGTAAACAATGAGACACTCTAGGCCCCTGTAGGAAATGGTGATCGAAACACCTGTATTCTACTGAGGAACCATTTTCATAGGTGCCGCCTGCTGACCCAATAATGACTCCATTTGTAATAAGTGGGGGAGATGCACACATGCCTTTAGATTCTGCAAAAATAATTTTTAGCATATACTGTCAATGGCTATAATCAGTATCCAGTGCTTTCATCATTGCTGCAGAAATAACATGGTATTTTATATAAAAGCGTTTATAACATGTCTCAAATAATTTTTAAATATTGACAGCATTGCTGCAATAACCTCATAATACAACCTTGATTATTGCAATTTATTTATTTTAATAATATATATAATTATATATTATATATGATATATATAATATATATATATAATTAATTATATATAATTATTGCAATTACTGCAATAGGAAGATATGATATTATCTGATCTCACCCAGGGAATCAGAATATCATAGAAAATGGTCTGAGAGCCTGGTCATGGGGCGCCCCAGGGTTCAGGGTTCAGGAGACCAGTGGCACCAACGAAGGACATGTGGTATTAGCCACTTCAACTCGGGCCTGGAGTGTATTTTTCCCAATGTTTTACTATGAGCCTACCTATGTTTCCAAGTATGAAGTGAGTTTTCTGCAGACAGCATATAGTTGGGTCTCGTTCAATTGAAAAGTGGGCAGAAGACATGAACAGAAACTTTTCCTAAGAAGACATACAAATGGACAACAGATATATGAAAAACAATGCTCAACTTCACTAGCTATTAGAAAAATGCAAATCAAAACCACAAGACAGCCATTTTTTAACACTGGTGTGCTTTACATGTGCTTTCATGGGGCCTGATTCCCAGTGTAAGGGATTAAAAATACTTCAATTAATCATTTCTGTCATCAGAAACCACAAGTCTTCACATTACAAAATTTGCTATGTTTTTATTTGCTTATGTTAGCTTTTGTTTACTTTGGTCAATAAATCAAATAATATCCTGTTTTAGAGTCTACAGGAAAATGTGGGCCCCTTCCACCTATTGACAATGGAGACACCATCACATTCCCATTAGCCGAGTATGCTCTGGGGTCATCAGTTGAATACCAGTGCCAGCACTTGTATGAACTTCAGGGAAACAGGCAGATAACATGTAGAAATGGAGAGTGATCAGAACCACCAAAATGCTTAGGTGAGTACTTTAATGTTCTCATGCATTCTGAGAAAATCAGTGTAATGAATGTGATGTTTTCCTGTTTATAACTGAGTTTTGATGAATTAATATAAGAACAATTCTACTGATTGCTTGTCTACCAAATATTAATATGTGAAGAAATAAAGTTTCAAAAATTCCTTGCTGTAGAAGGCGCACTGTAACTGGCCCATGTGGGAATTGAACTGGAGGCCTGCTGCTCATAGCTCACGCTCCCAAGCCAACTCTTAATCAATGAGCCACTCGGCCGGTCCAAGAAAATACTTCATTCTAGAGCAGCTGATATTGTTGAATTTATCTGTAGAGCTGTGTATCGTGAACAGTTACCATGCTCTGCATTTCAAGCACCCTGTCGGGAAGGGAAAGTGGAATATACCATTTGTGAGATAATTAATATAGATAGAATGAAGTCATGAAATTATAATTAAGATTTTTGGTTGTTCAAATTCTCAATTTTTTTCAAGCATTGAAAAATCACAATTTTTTTATTCATAAATCAGAAATTGTGTTAAATATTATATGGAGGATGTCATTGTCACCTGAGAGACCAGTTTATCAATTTTTTTTTAAGATTTTTATTGGGGAATTCGGGGAGGGAACAAAGTTGGGGAATCAGGGAAGGGGAACAGACAAGTTGCTGTCCTTTAGTTCTGCAGTCTAGTTGTGGAGGACGTCGCTTCACTGGCCCATGTTGGTATTGTGATCATTGCACTCTTCCCAGGTGAGGCAGTTCGGTCACTGGCCTCTGGACGACCACTCACAGCAGCTTTTGGCAGATCATGCTGTTGCTGGCAACACACGGCAGCCCAGCTCCAGGTTGAGCTGTTGTTCACCATCTTAGATGCAGAGGGCACAGCGTCACTGGCCCACATGTGGGATTCAAACTGGGGTCCTGCTGCTCAGAGCTGGCGTCCCAAGTCAACTCTTAACCAATGCGCCACTCAGCAGGCCCTCATGGGTGCTTCTTGAAACTGGCTTCTCATTGCTCTTAATATATCCCTATTAGTCTTTCAGCATTTCTCTTCTTTTTAGCACAAACCATACTCCAGGCTCACTGTATACTCCTCCTGCCCAACACCCATGATCATACAGCTTTTCAAGAATGTCCAATATTTTTTTCTTTCTTGGAGAATAGTGTTTAGAATCCAAGAATTGTGTGCTATTGGTGCTGGATGAGGGTGTTCAATAGTGTTGAAATGTCTTTACTTCCAGGGTCTTCTGGTTGTCAGATCTTTGAAATAGAAATGAAACTTAAAATTCATTAGTGCCTATTGGATTTTACAGTTCAAGTTTAATAATGCAGGATTAAAAAACAACTCTGAAATACATTTTCTCTTTCCCTTTATTTCTATATTCTTATATTTCAATTTTCATAAAGATAACATCAAAAGTATAATACAAACATTACTATTAGCAGCTACACTACTGAGTGGAGGTTGAAACATCCTTGCATTTATTTTGTCCCGGGATGTTTGACATTGAATGTCAGTAAATTCCTCAAGTGACTTGAACTAATTCTTACTTCTGGTTGGCATGCTTACCAAATCGATGGAGTTTTATTTTTGTTTGTTATAGTATATTTTTTAATTTTTGATTTTGCTGCTTCTTCCCCTTTGATTTCATCTTTTTTTTAAAAAAAATATGAAGAACACCAACATGTTTTAAAAGTTGAAGCAATACGAGAAGGTTCTATGCAGGAAGGTCTCACTTCCATCATACTTGTTCCCCTTATTTAAGTTATAATTTTACTAGTTTCTGACATCTCTCCACTGTTCATTAGTCTTCTTTTTTTTTCAGAGGAAGGAGAGTATTTCACACATTTATCTGCACCTTGCTGTTTCTATTTTAGAATGCATCTCACTGAGACTTCTGGTATTTTCCTATTACAACAATGAGTGTGCTATGATGAATATACTTAGGTGGACATACTGTCAGGATAAACTGCTAAAAGTGAAATTAACGGATCACCAGGCAATTTCAAAGGTATTTCAACTTGTTTTTCATAGAGGTCTGTATATTATTCTGGACTTTTCTAAAGAGTCTACTTTTTCTTGGTCTGCCCAATGAGGAAGTTGTCAGCCTTTTAGATATTTTTCCTGTTTAGTAGATAAGAAATGGTATCTCTGTATAGTTTCAATGTGTATTTTGTTATTATAAATGTGGTTAATTGCATATAAAATATTTAAGAAGCATTTGTTTGGATTTGTTTCCATTATTGTTCCTAGTATAGAATTCACAAGATTACTACTTTTCAATTCAAATTTCTGTGACATGTGTTACATATATTTTCCAAGTTGTTATTACGCTTTTGAGTCCATGTTAATTTTTCTAGGCAGATATTTTTTAATGATATGCTCTTATAATCATTACTCATTTTTTATTTACTCAAGTTCTGAGTCATAGTTTGAAATGTCCTGTTCTTAACAAATGCACCCATAGTTTTTGTGCTGAATGTGTGGGGTTCCTTACTTATTTGGAGATCTGTACAGCTAAACAGAGTGTGGGAGTTTGGATACGTTCTGTTTTTCTGAATGACTCTCCAGTTATCTAACAGTATTGAAAACATTGTCTTTTCCTAGTTATTTGAAATATGACTGTAATCATCTGACAGTTTCTTTGTGTGTGTTTCCCTTTCTGTACTTTCTACTATAATCCACTTTCTATCTGTCCATTCTGGGGTCAGCACCTTCTGTACCGTCGTAAAGGCTCCTTAGATATAACATGTGGTGGGGCTAGCCGTCACCTAAGTTTTTCCTTGTCTGTGGCTATTCTCTGTCTCTAGGAACTTTAGAAAGAACTTGTCTAAATCAAAAAGAAAAGCTATGGGACTTTGCATTGTCTGCTGTGCCTGGTTGAAGATCAGTAGTGGTCCTTAATGCAGACTTTCATATTAACAGGAAACTAATCGGTGTTTCTGGCAAAGGGTATCTCAGACTTGCTGAAAGCTTAAGGGTCTAACATACAGCATGTCCTGTAGGATGGGACAGGAGACCTGGCAGCCACCCAGATCTATACTTCATGTCCCCATGACACCTGAGTGCCAAGGGAATGAAACCCTGTGTCAGTGAGGGAGTCACCTAGTTGGGACACTTCAAGTCCCATAAGGGTCTGTATCTCTCAAAAGCAAACAAACAAGCAAACAAACAAATAACTTGAGCAGAGCTCCGAGGCTCTGGCGAGGGAACAATGACACACAAATCATGATGCTCCAAACCCCAAAGCTATGGCTGTCCCCCAAGTATATCCATCTGGGCCTGAGTTTCTTCCAGCACATGTGACATTTCCTACTTACTAGATTTGTACAAAAGCAGTATTATAAGAAGTTCAACTCTGGGTTCCTTGAAATAAGGAGGAAAGAGATTTGTGAAAACATTCTCAGTAAATTTGTGGGATGGACAAATGTGTCTGTGAACCTAAGAATTATTGGCAATGCTGCTGAGACTTCCACTATTTTCCTGTTTGTACAAGTGTATGTTTGTATTCTTCAGGAAGAATATTACTCTGTTTTCCTCAGATGTTCTTTGTACATGTCTGAGCAACAGGGAGAGTCAGCACATTGGCTCCCCTAGATGTGGAATGAGGACAACTATGGTGGGAAAGGCCAAGTGAAGCCAACAGAACAGCCTGCACCCAGGACAATAGTGAAGCAAAAGCAATAGTTCACCTGCTGGAGGCATTTCAAGGACTGGAAAGACACAGAGGGATGGTTTCTACCAAATCCCCATCAACTTGCCCACGTGGCTCGTGCAGCAAACAGATGGATGCTGGAGATGGCAGCGGGAGACTAAGCGTAACCAGATGGGGCACCAAACGCACCTGTTTACCTGATGTTGTCTCATTGATTGAGCACATTGATGCAGCCCCTGTAATGTCTTAGGACACGCTGGTGTGCGGCTCTTCATCTGGCAAACGCTGTTTTCTCTATACTTGTCAGCAGAGACCAGCCGAAGCAGTTTCCTTTGGTTGGAAGGTCATCAGTACACCTTCACTGTCCTGCCTCCGGAGCCTATCAACTCTGCAGGCTATGTCATCACTTAGTCTGCAGGGACCTTGATCGCCTTTCCGNCTTCCCTTCTAATCTTCGGATTAGCCAGGGCAATCCCCCAGTTAGTGATTCATCTTAGTTAGCGTCCCTGTACCAACAGGACGGCCTGTCATCTGAGCAAACTTTGCTTTCACCTCCAACGCGATAACAGTGGTCTCACAACGTAAAGTTCTCTGAAAACACAGTGGCGGCTATCTAACATTCTCCTCAACACCTCACACATGTGATGGAAGTGATAATGCAATGAAACAACTCACACTTGGCCAGATTGCCCAAGTGGACGTGCTTCTGCGTCAAGCAATCTTCACATCTGCTGTCGTCTCATTCACCCTCTCCATGACTTTCTCAAACTTTCTCTGCTCTCCTCAGTCCTTGACCTTCTCTTCCCATTATCCTTCCACATTCTGAGCAGGTGACATCCCCTCCTGGACAGGGAAATAAGAGCCATATGACATGAACCACCTCATTCCAGCCACAGGAGCAGCCCGTCTCCCAGACGGGAGGCACCTTCCACTTGTGCCTGGGTGGCCACCTGTTCTCACCTTTCAAGGAACCCTCTGCAATCATTGTACAATATCTTCTCCATGTCCGCCTCCTGTCTTTCTTTACGGACCTATTTCCATTTAACTAAAACATGCTCAAATTTCACCTTTTTCATGCAAAAACCTCTTTTATTCTTCTCTCCCCCTCTTTTTATTTATTATTTATTTATTTATTTATTTATTTTTTTAGCTGAGCCACCCTGCTACCTATTGGCAGCTTAGAGGCAGCTCAGCTTGGGCTGGCATCAAACCGCTGTTGCTCAGAGCTCAAACTCTTGAGCAAGCTCTCTCCCCCTCTTTTTAAAAATTACTATAGCATCTCATTTCAATCAGTGACTTCCAAAAATCTCTTCTACATTTAATAAAGTAAATCCTCTAATGTAATATAGATTTCATATCTTTACTGTGTTTGTTATTTTTTAATATTGATGAAAACATTGAACTAAAAATAATGGAGGGGAATGGACAATAGAAAACAGAAATATTTAGATGTGTAGATCAGTACTGTAACAGTTGGAAGACATGCAATAAATATTAAGTTACATGTGAAATAATCCAAACTACAAATGAAAGGATATGTTCTTGTTTTATTTACAGATAAAGAAAATATTCATTATAAACAATCCAGGTGCATATCTTTAAGCGTGTGAAAACTTAGAGGTTTTTAATTCAACTTTTTTTTCTAAAAATTATGTTTCATTAGGGATTTTATAATGTGTTGAAATATGATTCTTCTTTCTGACATTCATTTTATGTCCTTAAGTGTTCTTGGTAAGACTGCATCATTTGTAAGAAAGACAGAGAGGGGCAGAGAGAAACAGAGAGATTTTTAAAATAAGCATCACTTGTGGTCAAGTATTTATTATAGTCTCAGTCCTTTGATATTTCACGTAATTGGTCATTGTTTTAACTCGGTACTTCCAAAAGCATGAAAACACACTTGTAAAATTATCCCATTAATTCCCTTTTATAGACTCAATGTCATCTTTTCTTACAATTTTTCTGAGTTATTTTATTTCTTTTTGTCTTAGGAATTACAAATATAAGATGCACAAAACATTTAAATAGCGTATAAAATTTTTTTATTCTGATTTTTACCATTTAAAAATGAAATGTAAAAGTTTTACACTCATTATTTCATTGTATTATTTTAATGTTTTTCAAAAAAAAAGGATCATTTTCCATTCATCAACAAGTTGAAAATACATTTTTTAATTGTCATGTGAAGAAACTCTTCGATAAGGGAGTCCAAGTTTTATATACAAATGTGTTCCTTATGAAAAATACCATAATTTTAATGATTGTTCCTAACATGTTCTACTATCACTAGAAAGATTTGTGCAACTGTGTTTCCAATCTTTAGTCACTACACATAAACTTATACTGGGAAATGGGAGAAAATATGACTTTTGCTGTCTCAGAAAACAAAGGTTAATTTTTTCACATTTAAATATTGAACATATAAATTGATTTAGTTATCCATTTGCCAAAGTGTCCAATATATCAAATACCACACAATGCTTTCAATTTGAATAACTCTGGGAGCTTTTTCAAATAGTTAATACTTCTAGGACCTTTCTCAGTTTAAAAAAAAAAGGAAAGAAAATTATTTTATTTCCTTTATAATGATCATAAAGTAAAAATGTTGTAGAACTCAATATTTCTGAAATTTACAACATGATGACTGTTGACCTACAATATGACCAAAACACAATCAATCAAAAAATAGTTGTAGACACAGGTCTCTTCTCATCTTCGTCTTTGGACACATCATGGATATTTGAACTGCCCTCCGTCATATCGCACTCTAAGTTCAGACCCAACAGTAGATAACCGAGCGATGGAAGTACCTCTCCTACAAAGAAACTCAATATACTCGCCATGGAAAATGTAGGGTCTATTGTCGAAATCCCATTTCAACAGTAAATTATTCTTTTCCATTTCTACAGGAGATAATGTGCAAGGCTCTGAAAAATTAAAGAAGAAAATTCTCTTGGTACATCTTGGTACTGCCAGGAAGCCTTGGGTTGCGATGATGACCTTCAAAATTCCAGGCATTAGAGTGTCAAGTAAGTTAGATAGAATTAATATTTAAGTCAGAAACTAGGTTTCAAAAAGCCTGCCAATTTTATCTGTGGTTCTTGGTAGACACCTGACTAAATAGGCACGTGAACGAAATAACACCAATGTAGCACGTTAAGCATTCTGTGAGTGTTCTAGTAGCACACAGAGCACAGAAAGTGAAAAGATATGGTTTTATTTTATTAACTAGAGACAGTCGTTCGTACCCAAGCACAATGGTGGTGTGGTCCACACTCCCTGTAAACAATGAGACACTCTAGGCCCCTGTAGGAAATGGTGATCGAAACACCTGTATTCTACTGAGGAACCATTTTCATAGGTGCCGCCTGCTGACCCAATAATGACTCCATTTGTAATAAGTGGGGGAGATGCACACATGCCTTTAGATTCTGCAAAAATAATTTTTAACATATACTGTCAATGGCTATAATCAGTATCCAGTGCTTTCATCATTGCTGCAGAAATAACAGTATTTTATATAAAAGCGTTTATAACATGTCTCAAATAATTTTTAAATATTGACAGCATTGCTGCAATAACCTCATACAACATTTATTATTGCAATTTATTTATTTTAATAATATATATAATTATATATTATAGATAATATATATAATATATAATAATATATATAATTAATTATATATAATTATTGCAATTATTGCAATAGGAAGATATGATATTATCTGATCTCACCCAGGGAATCAGAGTATCATAGAAAATGGTCTGAGAGCCTGGTCATGGGGAGCCCCAGGGTTCAGGGTTCAGGAGACGAGGGGCACCAACGAAGGACATGTGGTATTAGCCACTTCAACTTGGGCCTGGAGTGTATTTTTCCCAATGTTTTACTATGAGCCTACCTATGTTTCCAAGTATGAAGTGAGTTTTCTGCAGACAGCATATAGTTGGGTCTCGTTCAATTGAAAAGTGGGCAGAAGACATGAACAGAAACCTCTCCTAAGAAGACATACAAACGGACAACAGCTATATGAAAAACAGTGCTCAACTTCACTAGCTATTAGGGAAATGCAAATCCAAACCACAAGACAGCCATTTTTTAACACTGGAATACTGCCAAGCAGACACATGTGTTAATGTTTTACATGTGCTTTCATGGGGGCTGATTCCCAGTGTAAGTGATTAAAATTACTTCAATTAATCATTTCTGTCATCAGAAACCACAAGTCTTCACATTACTTATTTTGCTATGTTTTTGTTTGCTTATGTTAACCTGTGTTTTTCTTTGGTCTCTCAATAAATCAAATAATATCTTTTTTTGATTAAGAAACTAGCTCCCTTTTCTCATTATTGTTTCTGGCTGAGAATTGATAGGACTATCACTTTTCATTTCACATTTCTGTGATATGAATTATATTGTCTTCTCAGTTGTTATTTGGCTTTTGAGTCCTTTTTAATTTTTCTAGGCAGATATTTTTGAATGATATGCTCTTAAAGTCACTCTCATTATTTAATTACTCAAGTTCTGAGTCATAGTTTTAAATGTCCTGTTCTTAATAAATGCACCCATAGTTTTTGTGCTGAATGTGTGGGGTTCCTTACTTATTTGGAGATCTCTACAGCTAAAGAGAGCGTGGGAGTTTGGATATGTTCTGTTTTTCTGAATGACTCTCCAGTTATCTAACAGTATTAAAAACATCGTCTTTTCCTAGTTATTTGAAATGTGACTGTAATCATCTGACAGTTTCTTCGTGTGTGTTTCCCTTTCTATGCTTCTACTATAATCCACTTTCTATCTGTCCATTCTGGGGACAGCACCTTCTGTACCGTCGTAAAGGCTCCTTAGATATAACATGTGGTGGGGCTAGCCGTCATCTTAGTTTTTTGGTGTTATTAGAGCTTCTGTGGCTATTCTCTGTCTCTAGGAACTTTAGAAAGAACTTGTCTAAATCAAAAAGAAAAGCTATGGGACTTTGCATTGTCTGCTGTGCTTGGTTGAAGATCAGTAGTGGTCCTTAATGCAGACTTTCATATTAACAGGAAACTAATCGGTGTCTCTGGCCAAAGGTATCTCAGACTTGCTGAAAGCTTAAGGGTCTAACATACAGCATGTCCTGTAGGATGGGACAGGAGACCTGACAGCCATCCAGGTCTATACTTCATGTCCCCATGATACCTGAGTGACAAGGAAATGAAACCCTGTGTCAGTGAGGGAGTCACCTAGTTGGGATCTTTCAAGTCCCATAAGGGTCTGTATCTCTCAAAAACAAACAAGCAAACAAACAAATAACTTGAGCAGAGCTCCAAGGCTCTGGCGAGGGAACAATGACACACAAATCACGATGCTCCAAACCCCAAAGCTATGGCTGTCCCCAAGTATATCCATCTGGGCCTGAGTTTCTTCCAGCACATGTGATATTTCCTACTTATTAGCTTTGTACAAAAGCAGTATTATAAGAAGTTCAACTTTGAGTTCTTGAATTAAGGAGGAAAGAGATTGTGAAAACATTCTCAGTAAATTTGTGGGATGGACAAATGTGCCTATGAACTTAAGAATTATTGACAATGCTGCCAAGACTTCCACTATTTTTCTTTTGTCAAGTGTACGTTTGCATTTTCCTCAAATGTTCTTTCTATATTTCTGAGAAACAGGGAGGGTCATCACATTGGCTCCCCTAGTTGTGGAATGAGGACAATTTTGGTGGAAAAGGCCAAGTGAAGCCAACAGAACGGCCTCCATCCAGGACAATAGTGAAGCAAAAGCAACAGTTCACCTGCTGGAGGCATTTCAAGGACTGGAAAGACGCAGAGGGATGGTTTCTACCAAATCCCCATCAACTTGCCCACGTGGCTCGTGCAGCAAACAGATGGATGCTAGAGATGGCAGCGGGAGACTAAGCGCAACCAGATGGGGACACCAAACGCACCTGTTTACCTGACGTTGTCTCATTGATCGAGCACGTTGATGCAGCCCCTGTAATGTCTCAGGACACGCTGGTGTGCGGCTCTTCATCTGCCAACGCTGTTTTCTCTATATTTGTCAGCAGAGACCAGCTGAAGCAGTTTCCTTCTGTTTGGAAGGCCATCAGCATACCTTCACTGTCCTACCTCTGGAGCCTATCAACTCTGCAGGCTATGACATCACTTAGTCTGCAGGGACCTTGATCGCCTTTCCGGTCACAAGGAAGCACACTGGTCCATTCCATTGGTGATATTATGCTCATTGGACCCATGGAGCAAGAAGTGGCAGCTGCTCTAGATCACTGGTGAGACATTCGCATGCCAGGTGATAGAAATAAACTCACAGCTAGTCAGGGTCCTTGGACCTCAGGGAGATTTCTAGGGGTCGGGGGTGTAGGGCATGTTGGGATTACCCTTTTAAACTGAAACACACACACACACACCCACACACACACACACACAGTTCCCCACAACCTAAAAATCCAAAGTGTGACACTAGTGGGGCTCTTTATTTTGGGAGGCAACATAGCCCTCATTTGATGGTGCTCCTCTAACCCAGGTACCAGTGGTCCCCAGAAGCTGCTGGTGTGAGTGAGACACTAAACAGGAGGAGGCTTTGTCACAGGTCCAGGCTGCCATGCAAGAGGCTCTGCCTCTTGGGTCACGTGACCCAGCAGATCCCATTGCTGCAGTGTCAGTGGGAGAAATGGAGGATGTTTGGAGCCTTCCCAGGCCCCTGTGGGTGAGTCATAAACCTGCAGACCTTAAGGATTTTGGAGCTTTGGGCCTGCTACTGGGCCTAAGCCCAGACTGAAGACATGACACAGGCCAAGGTTTCATTCTGTTTACTCTACCAGACTCCAACTGTTACCTCACCATTTCCAAGGAAAAACACTTCATTGCTTATTATTCATCTATTGTTTAGTAGTTGAATTAGGGCTTATAATAGACATCTTGGCAATTACATTAGTAGTTAATCATTCATGGAGATTGAGGGCTTTGGTAAAACTCTTTGAACTTTGATGTTTACTAACCGACCTCAATAAAGTAACTTCCTGGTAGTGCCCTTAAATTCAGAGTCACACTTGATAGCTGCTCATGAAGCAACTTCTGCCCCACACAGCACGACGGGAGCACTTGGACTGCAACACCATTGGGAACAGGTAGCATGGTGCTCCTGCTCAGTGTCATCCTGACCTTGGGGGTGTCCTGGACTCATGCACAAGGTGAGCTGAAACTATGTGAATTTTCAAGTTCCTTCTTAAGTGTAACTTATCTCTTTCATATGTCTTAATTTTTTGAATGAATCAATTGGTAGAAATATTCTGCGTTCTGAGATAACAATAAAGAACACCTTTATGGAATAATTTTCACTTTTTCACTAAGAGACAACAAAACAAAATCAATTGTTTTCTGTCTTCTGAGTTCCACAGAGTGAACATTCAATCCATACTGATTAGGGACTCATGGGACTAGGATCCTGAAAACTTGACAAGAAAATATGTCACAGAAAAGCTTGATTATAACTCCAAAGTGTTTGGGGGTTCTTGTTTGTAGTACAGGAAAGCTTTAGAGAGGGATGGAATTCTTTATAATCTTACATATGGTGATGATTTTACAGGTTCTTATGTCAAACGTCATCAAATCATACATTTTACATATATTCCATTGTTTAAATCATATCTTTATGAAGTTCTTAAAACTCATTAACATCAGTATTAATTATTAATATTTAGCACAATTAGTATATGAAACAGACACATCTTTTAATAAAAAATGGAAAATATTCTTAATTTCCAGTGTAACCCCAATACATTCTAACTTGTTTTCTGAGATCATGGACAAATGTTGAAAAATTGAAAGTTTTAAAGCATCACTTCTATAATTAAATTTACAAATTCTTTGTTATGATTTTCTGTCTGTCATTTTAGTTAATAATCCAGTCCTCTCATTTTCCAGTTATCCCACCTGAACACTGTAATGAGCTTTATGGTGCCCCATTAACTACCAGATATGATTCGAGTATGCATCACTGTACATTATTCATGTCATTACGTGTTGCATGTGGGGTTTTGGACATTATTTAATTGGGGCAATTACCTTCACTAACAATAGTAACAGCTCCACAAAGCTTCCGGAGTGTCCCCATGGAAAGCTCCCCAGGCCCCAGCTCCACATAAGAAAGACTTGTGCGTCCGTGGATTTTGAGATCTGCGAGCAGCTCCAGGGACCCATCCTTCATGGACCCGGAGGGACAAAACCCTACCAGGTGCTTGAAAGGAAGACACTCAGGATATTTGTAGACAGCCCTTGTGAGAACTTCAGAAGCCCAGGAACTTGAGGGAAGTGGGAAGAACTGTTGCAGTGAGATCTTATGACATCATTGTCACATGTGGGATATCATGATATGTGGGATGGTTTGGAGAAAGGGGATTCAAGAGCCCAGGGGATACAAGTGCATCAGATGAGAAATGTGCTCGAGGGGAACAGTGCTGTAGAGGAAGGACATGAGGCTGTGCTCAGTTAATGCCATTTGCCACGTGGTGAAACAAAAATAACATCTGCTTTCTGTATTTTCATGAGCTTGATTATTCTCCTGGAGAGTGATTACACCATTATCCACATATCCTTTTCAGAAATTACATGCGACCAACCCTATATTCGAAACGGTTATTACAGTCCTCAAAGGCCAAAATACAGACTTGGAAATACAATCACATACCAGTGTAAAAGCGGCTTTTACCCTGCAACCCGAGGGACCACGGCAAGATGCACTAATATAGGCTGGGAGCCCCATCCAAGATGCAGCTGTAAGTTCCTTTCAAATCTTCACCTGCTTCTGAACTCTGAAATTGCTTTATCGGAAACACAAAAAATGGTTACTGAGTCCAAATGTTTACCTTATGGGAAGCCAGGATTTAGAGGCGTTCTATGTTTTTCAAAGTAGCCAATTCTAAGTAGGAAAAAAATCATATAATTCTAAGTGAAAACCTTTTAATTTTTTGCTATTCAATGTTAAATAGGTACTTGTGTGTATCTTTACATATTTCTCTAAATGATATAATTCTATCAGGAATAAATCATTGGGTAAGAATTATCTAACACCTAGTATGTTAGTTACTTATTTCTGTGTACCAAATTTTCCCTAAAACTTTGACTTGAAACAATCAACCTCCATCATCTCAGAGTCCCCTGGGTAGGGAATTTGGGAGTGGCTTAGCTGCCAAGGTCAGAGTCAGGCTCCTGAGTCAGGATGTGGGCCTCGGTGGCCATCACGGAGGGCGGCTTCCAGCACGGCTCACTCCGTGGCTTTCGGCAGGAGCCTCAGTACTAATAAGCACACGGGTCTCCATAGGATGCTTGAATGGCAGCCCACTGCCCCAGAGCCAGTGATCTGAGAGACAGCAGGAAGCCTCCACACCACTCGTGACCTGGTCCCACACTTCACCTCAGCCATAGCTGATCTCAGAGAGAGTCACTGATTCCAGCGCAGGCAAGGGGAGGGAGTCAGGCTCCCTTTTAGGAGGGAGGGGCGTCGAAGACTCTGGAACTTTCAAAAGCCCTCACATGTCACAAAGTGCCACTCAATTCAACAGGGAATTTTATTATTATTATTATTATTAGGGATGTTTCTTTAGCTGCTTTCAAGTGTTTTCTGTCCCGACAATCATATTCCCGTCTTTATCCATCACAGTTCATTGTAAAGGTGGCCCGCACTTAAGCGGGATATTCCATGAATCAAAAATGTAGTGACACAAATAATAGGTCAGGACCTCAGAGTTAATCAGGGGTCAAGTCCAACTGAATTTTGAAAGTATGATACAGTTGAAGTGTTACTATTATCACCAAGAAACAGACCTACAAAATGGAGAATCATTTGAGAAAAAAGATTATGTATGTATGTATGTATGTATGTATGTATGTATGTATGTATGTATTTAGATAGTATTGATGTATAACGTTGTACTAGTTTCAGGTGCAAAACGTAATGATTCAGTATTTGTATATATTGGGGAATCATCACAAATCAAGTCTTATTTACATCATCAGAATTCTATAACTTGTGTTGCCCTCCAAATCTTAGTGCAATGAGAGTAATTATGTTAACAAGAAAATATAATTCATCCATGAAATATTTTGTCTCTCATTTGATTTTTATCAAGGCAAAACATTATTCATACTTTTTTTGTTTGTTTTTATTACCAGTTGAACCCTGCCATTTTCCAGAAATAAAACATGGAAGCCTACATAATGCAGACAGATATAAACCATACTTCCCAGTAGCTGTAGGAAAGTGGTATTACTATTCCTGTAATGCCAACTTTGTGACTCCTTCACAATCATCCTGGGACTACATTAATTGCACACGAGAAGGATGGTCCCCAGCAGTACCCTGTCGCAGTACGTACTCCTCTTTGTAATATGTGTGTGGAAATATGTCTAAGAGAGGAAAGCACACAGCAGAGCACAGGCAAGCCTCGTGTGACGCAAATAAGGTCAAGGGCTGAGCTCCATGAATCAAGGACCAACACAGGTTCTCCTTTTATTCAGAGCTTTTCATTAATATAACATAAGAGGTAAAAATAGAGACTTTCTGAGAATACCTATTTCATTTATGCACATTTTAACTTTCCAAACTACAGGTAAATAATATTTAATATTGATTTTTCTATTTACAAATCATCTGGTAGTAGCTTAGTTTTTCTTAAGCTGTATGTTATAGTTGGATGCTTTTGCATTCTAATTTAAATATTGTAAAGATAAGTATTGATTTACTACCTTGACAAATTTATGAATTTTCCATTTTGTAATTCTTAGGACAATGTATCTTCAGGTATGTGCTAAATGGATATTCCCCACGTTATGAAAGAAAGTATTTACAGGGTGAATCTGTAAGAGTTGACTGCCATCCCGGCTACAGCCTCCCCAATCAGCAGACCACAATGACATGCACGGAGGATGGCTGGTCCCCTCCACCCACATGCATCCGTGTCAGTAAGTAAACTCATGTGAGACCCCAGGATGTCTGTGATTTTCTAAACCTCGCCCATAATAACTGGCAGGATGTTCGTGTCAGCTTCTTGTTCTGCCAAGACATCTGTTTGGTTTTATTCTTTCCAAGTGTGTGTGAGTGGATACACTGACCTCTGGACGCATGTATTGAAACATAAATGAAGCTACTGATAGACCTTAGTTAAAAAAACAGCACAAGAATGACAAAGTGGGACCCTCTACTAATAACGTGACATCAGCCTGTGGCTCCATCTTGGTTTCTATTGTCCTCGGCACAAAGAGCACTGACATTTGACAGTCCCCAGGGACAGAGCATCCCTGTGGGAGTCCAGGAATCTAGCAGAGAAGTTTCAGCAGCATCACAGCCAAAGGGTCCAAGACCGGAGGCCATGAAGAAGCAACAGGGACAGTGCCACCACCTGAGTTGCCCTCTGCTAGGTGCACATATTGGGGACTTGGGGTTGGAGACCTTGCTGATTGCTGGCTTTCGTATCGTTTTGGAAGGCTAAGTGGGTTACGGGTCAACTTGACCCCTTCAAGGCGTTTCTCTAAACTCCCCTATGGCTGGTTTGGGAGCCTGTCCTCCAGGACTAGTTTATTCAGAACGCTGTGAGTGAGGCCTCTTCCGGTCTCTCCACTAAGGATTGGTGTCTAAAGAGGTGGATCCACTCTGATCAAATCTGAATGTTTCCCAGGGTTGTGTGTGCTCTGGAAATCTTTGAATCTATGGGATTCCTCCTCTGGCAGTTATCTGTTACCCATTCTCATGGGCTTTTGCCCTTAACGATAGTGTGATATAGTCAGCCAAAGAATCTAGTGATTTCTTTCTTTTTCATTGTTAGTTTCAGGTGTACAGAACAATGCAATAGTTATTCTTTTCACCCTTCCCATAGAAACAACCCCCCCCATCTACTGCCCTCCCACCCCCAATATCATACTTATCTATTACAATTCCATTGACTCCATTCCCAGACTCTACTCCACGTCCCATGACTATATGTATATTTAATTATAGTTGACATACATTATTATTCAACATCAGCTTCAGAAATATAGTGCAGTGGTCAGGCCTCTACACCAACTATGCAAATAAAAACCACAATGAGATACCACCTCACCCCCGTCAGAATGGCTATCATCAATAAGTCAGCAAACAACAAATGCTGGCGAGGTTGTGGGGAAAAGGGAACACTGGTGCACTATTGGTGGGACTGCAGGTTGGTGCAGGCATTATGGAAACCAGTATGGAGGTATCTCAAAAAACTGGAAATGGAACTACCTTATGACCCAGCAATTCCACTCTTGGATATCTATCCAGAGAAACCCACGACATTAATCCAAAAAAATGTATGCACCCCTATGTTCATTGCGGCGCTACTCACAATAGCTAAGAATTGGAAACAGGTATAATGCCCATCGGTAGACGACTGGATTAAGAAACTATGGTACATTTACACAATGGAGTATTACTCAGCTATAAAGAAGAA